AAAGAATAAAGTTTATAACATTCTATATAAGAGATACGGATACTTGTCGTTACTGCGAACTGGTTGACAATGTCGAACACACATTTTTCCATTGCGCAAGATGGAGCTTTATTAGACATGCCGTAGAAGAGAAAATGGGTAAACTAACACCAGATGACATAATCGACAACATGCTGAAGAAGAAATATTTTGGAAGGAAATAAGCAAAATGGTTAAGTAAATCCTTATGGAAAAAAGAAGAGAGAGAGAACGTATGATCTGGTAGATCCAAACCAACTACATAGAACAGAACATCTACATAGACCCTCCTTCTGAAGTAATGCTAACGCGGTTCCAGAAGGAGATACATAAAGGTTCTGAGGGTTGTTTTAATCAGTAAGAGTCTGACACCGCTTCGGTTGTCTTACCAAGTGCCCATGGTGGCTTTTTTCCCTCAAAAAAATATTCTATATAAATTGGATCTTCGAAAATAAACTTCTTTTCTTTTTCTAGAAATACTATAGACTAGTATTGAAAACTCTCGTGGCGGGTGTTATTGTCTTGTATTTTATGCCGTGAATTGTGACTATTGTAATAGTGTACGAGTTTTAACAAATATTACTATTTTTAGCAAATCAGTACATAAAATGTAACTATAATTAACGAAAATATTTCTATATATTTTCATCGCGTGCTCCTGGATTTTTTATGAATCAAATCGGCCATGTTTTTAGAAAACTGTGATCCCCTTAACGTTGCTCCATTGATTCAGATTCGTTTGTCAGAGTGTAGGGACTAATTATTTGATCATTTTTACTGCAAAAAACTTCAGTTGTTTGTTTTATTTTAATAATAATTTCTTTCATCAGTGTCGGATTGGGACTTGTGATTTCACGATCTGGAAAAATGACATTATCCTTCAATATTTATAGAAAATAAATTTTAGTAGACGATTTGTAGTTTCTAGATCAAATAAAAACATTTTGTATTCGTTCCAAAGTTATGAACAATTTTTTCGAAGAGAAATAAATCTTAAAAAGTACTTTAGGAGAGTCTATTATATATATACTTATATACTTATTTCATTTAAAGTTTATTTTGTATTGTAGAATGGAGAATGTAGAATGAGTAAGAGAGGGGAGGGTAATCACTGCGACCTTAAAGATCTATTGTGCCCCCCTTCCTTGAGTTATCACATAATCTATAACCCATCATACCCCTGTTGTAGAGGGGACAGGGTATTTCCCATCCTCCTCTGACCACAGTTCTTCCTCCGAGGATACACACCCTTCCACGGTTGGAGTTTGGCCCCCCGTGCCGCTCTTCACAGTTGTGGAGCTTGCCTCCGGCTGAGGAACTCGTGAGGTGGAAGCTGTAGGATCTGTCTCCATTTTCTCCACCTCTTTAACTTGGTCTCTCCTTAGACCTGATACCGGTATTGTCCCGTATCTATAATAGAGGATATGTCCCTCTTTCTCTGTTGCCTCCTTGGATTTGAGGTCAATTCCTATTGTGAGGACCTGACCATGACCCTCCTCCCTCGAGTTGATGACTCGCCAACTCAATGTCCTTATATTGAAGTTCTGACTTTGGATAAGGCTCAGCAGGCAGGTGGTGTCTTTCCCCTTGCTCCTCGGCAGAAAGACCGTTATGGCCGCCCCTTTCTCCCTTCACTGTTCAACCAGTTCCGGCCCTTGCCAATTTTTAAGCTTAGGTGCGATTTCCACCAATCAATTCGCCGATTATTGAGATACACAATCTATGAGGATCGTGCCCGCCCGAAAGTGTATCCCCGCACAACGCAGCTGACCCACATTTTGTAGATCGTTGTGTTGCGATCCGATCGCCATTACTTCGTCCAGTATAGCCTCTTCTAGAGACGTTTGCTGGTCGGTGGGCAGAGCAACCTCTGGGAAATCCTTTGGCAGCACCGCCATTTTCACTTGTCCAGCAATAGCGGCAAAGCTGGTGATACGTCCCTGCTTGCCTCTCGGTGTTGGACGGCTTTCCATCCAGGCTTTTTTCTATCCCTGACGGAGAATAGGTGAGAGGTTCTCGCTCCCTCTCTTGCTCTTTGATGGAGATGAGTCAGGTTGTGTCTTGGTTTCTTTACTCTCCCCTTTTCGGAGGAGTGTTTTTGCTTTTGCTTCCTATGGAGCGAGTCCTTGCAGTCGGAGGTATGTCCGTGCTTCTGCTCCGCTAAGACCTACTCTCAGAGGATCGTCTAGCCCGCCTGGTTGACCCAGGCCGGGTAGACGAACGGTAGCTTATGTCGGTTATTGGGTCTAGAGGTAGGCTCCCGACCCTTGCTGGAGAAGGTGGTAGCTTGTGTGCCACTTGTGGAGGATGATCCCAAGCAAGTGTAGGTCGCCCCTCCTATAGTTTCCTTTGGATTTGGTCCCTTGGAACTTTCATTTGTAATGTTCCCATTGTCGCTAGGGGTTTCCCTACAGTGTCACCGGTGGTGTTTTTAATACTAGAATACTAGATCTCATAGTGTTCCCACGAGTCGCTAAGGATAGTCGGCCACTTCTACAGAGCCCCGCATGCAGAAGTAAGGGGTAAATACAATGGGGTGCCCCCTGATGTCCCAAGGTTGAGGCCAGTAATGGCTAGTCCTCTATCTAGCCACGCATCCCTTTGACATGGTCCCGCCATTGTAGGAGTTAGGTTTTTGGTGAGGTTGTCTCCTTTTGGTCCAGGCGGTTAAGCCAAGACCCCCCACACCCTCTACCCGTGAGACATGACCACAGTCAGTAGAGGGTGCTTGGTATGACGGACAGTAGTAGCCCCGTCCGGCATCGTTATATGTCTTGGTGCAATTCCCTGGCCACGACACTACAGCCAGGGACAAGACAATGAGATGCTTCTTAGGCCGAGCTAAAGTGCTAGAGGAGATTCCTCCACACAAGGCGCACCTGACAAGGAGCTTCCCCATCAACGACAAGGTCTTGCATCTACTAGGGGAAGTTATTTTGTATTACCTACGACAAAGACTTCCAGTCTCCCTACCACATAAATATTTGAATGTCATATTTTAATTATCGCCTTCATTAGATAAATAGAAATCTACAAATTAAAAAAGAAATAAAAAAGGCGACGCTAGACTTCCTACTGTTTGATTTACCGAAGTGGAAAATTGAATTATAGGATTACGACTTGATAAATGTCAAAGTACTATATCAAAAGAATTTTTATTTATATTCTAGTGCAATAGTACACTCCATTTTAGCTTTTTTTTCATTCGGTAGACTTCATTATCTGTAGGCGGTGGTATTTGGTTACATTTTAAAATTAAAAAATACGCCATAAACTATTAATGTTAAACAAATGCACCATTAAAAGAAAAAATATATATACAGGCTATATTTCCTCGAAATTATTTCCAAGCTGCCTACATAACTGTCTTACACATTAAAATTAAGACAACACTTCTAAAATAACTAAATCGGTATAAGCATACATATATTTAAATTCCTTCAATTATTAAAAAAAATAAACTACAACATTTTATTTATAATGTAACTTTCACAAAGCTTTTCTGCATCCTCTCAATATCAATTAGTAGCCGAAATCTTTTTGAAAAAAATCTAAACAACATTCATTTGCATTTAAAGCGAGTCGTTTGACCTTTTCATTTTGTCCGCACTAGAAAATAATTTTTGGGTGTATGTTTTCTTTCTCCCATTAATACGATTAAAACCTTTTTGGTATTTATATATTAGGAATAATTTAATTTTATAAATATGTGCCGTTACAACATTTAGCAGTAGAAAGTATGCAGTTATGATATTTTATATACCGGGTGTTTCTCAAAAGTGGCTCACGTTAAAAACTTTTTAATTTTTTAGGTAAAAAACGAGATTTGGCCTGTTAGTATATGACATAAATTGGGATTGATTGACGTATTCAATTGTTTCCGGTAAACTTTTGATTTTTAAATGGCGCCTTCTGTATTTTTTTTAGGGTTCCGTACCCAATGGGTAAAAACGGGAACCCTATTACTAAGACTTCGCTATCCGTCCGTCCGTCCGTCCGTCCATCACAAAGGTCTATCTCCGCTATAAGAACAAATACTAAAAACATAATTAAATAAATATTTATAAATAAAAAAGTATTTTCACTAAACATTATCTTTTAAGTAAGAATTTTACATAGAATCTTTCAAGTCCTCGGTGGCCACATGGTTAAAGCGTTAGGACTTTACGCTGCTTTGACGTTGGAGCCGTAGTAAGGCAGGTTCGAATCCTAGTCAAGGCGACTTTTTTTAATTTTTACTAATGTGTTTCTTCATTTTTTTTTAAGTTACTTATACGCGCATTCAAAATTTCAACTAAATCGGAAAAAAAGTTTATAATAATATAGTGTCTAATGTTGTATAGATAATGAATGGTCTTGACTAATTTGGTATATATACTTTTTTCTTCTTTCGGGATTTTTCGGTTTTATTTGTTTTATCTTTTAATAAACCAAGGAAGTTTCGAAGTTGATGGCAAAGGGTATTTTCATTACTGAATAAAAATTAATTTTATACTTTTTTAAAACAATAAATTGTTATAAGAGCAGTAATAATTTTTTAAAATAATGTTTAATAATATTTTTGTTTGCCTTGAGGAAATAGATGTAAAAAGAAACTGTATGTGGTGTGTAACTTTAGGATGGTAAACGTGAGCTCTGCGCTACAAAGTACCTTCTTATAAGTTCTATATCTCTACTAATTTTAAATTCATATCCTCATTAATTATAATTATAATTACAAAACCACATTATTTTTAATATAATGTTTTACTTACTTATTTGTGGGAAAACTTCACAATTATATAGTTCATTATGTTGAATATGTATAACATTTTATGACTATTTGTTTCGAGAAACAAAGGGAATAAAATAATTTCCTTCCTTACCAGTTTAAACTAAATTAATATTCATTGTTTTCGGAATGATTTTTTAACTCATAATTAATTTAGAGTATCACTTTATTAAGTGGATAGCGATGTATTAAATATCATTATTTTTTACAGGTTTATGTACAATGGCGAGGTTCACATTGCCCAAGAACATTTAACGGATTTTTTAAAGACTGCGCAAATGTTGCAAGTGAGGGGATTGGCCGACGTGTCGGCCGCCGCCACTGGACAAAGACTAACCACAACAACAGCCACACCATCGGAACAAAAGATCTCAAATGTAAGTAAGGCAAACGTTTCTTGTTTCCAATTTCTGAAATATATCACTAGTTTATATATTATGTCAGCGTCAATGAAATTCGTCATTCTCTGAAATGCCTAGTCAATCCAAATACTGCCGGCAAGCAGCGCAAAGCTTCATTCTTATTCTCGAAATTAGTAGAGTAAATTAGTGGTTACAATTAGCGTAGAAGTTTGTTCTTCTAATTTCACTCACCGCATTCAGAACGTCAAAATTAGTGGTAGTCATTTTCAATTAGTAGAAAAAATTAATAAAGTTTTTCCACTAATTATACTTCAACATTTCCGAGTAATGTAATTTTGGCCTTTGATTATCATCCTTCAGGAATTAGGCTTTCTCTATGGATACAACTAGTGATGGAATAACTCGAGCGAAGTACTCGATTATTGAAATAACCGACATCGCTCGATTATGGACGAGCGATGCAAGTGACGAGTACCAAGCGACGAACGCAAGCGATCCTAGAATGAAATAAATTGAAATCCGATTTTAATGTGACATACTCGATAAAAAGCCGAGCGAATTTTCTACATACGTTGCAGGTAGCAAATTTATACGACGCCGAATATATATTTATCCGTTGCGTATCTGAGGGACAAAATTTTACGACCTACATCGACAATGCTTTGAAATAAACTAAATCAAGCGATCAAGCGAATCGCTCGCCGCTTGCTACTTGCCATTCATCACTGTGCACGCAACTTACTGATTGGCGCTTGGAGTTAACGAGTACTTACAACAAGCGACGCACGGGTGAAAAACCGTATTTTTAAATACGAGTGATATTTATATATAGATTTTTTTGTTACATACCGCGCCGTATATATATTTATCCGTTGCGTATCTGAGGGACAACATTTTACGACCTACAGCGACAATGCTTTGAAATCTACTAAATCAAGCGAATCGCTCGCCACTTGCCATTCATTACAGAAAGAATATGTGCCCTGCGCACGCAACTTACTGCTTGGCGCTTGGAGTTAACGAGTACTTACAACAAGCGACGGGTAAAAAATCGTATTTTTAAATACGAGTGATATTTCGTTCGAGCGATCACTCGGTTATTGCAATCGCTTGAAACTCGAGTACTCGATTATTGAAATTAATCGGTTTTTCCCATCACTAGATACAACTGACTACTGCAAGCTGCTGCTGGAATATACTATCAATTTTAATTGTATTTTGTAGATATTGTGAATGATCGTAAACTATTAACTATATATTATAATTGAAATCACTAATTTATTTTATTATAATAGTTTCGAGGTTCTGAATGAAGCTTTACTCTTTTGTTGGTACGTTGTTTGACTGTATATCTCAGTCGTTCCCTGTAATATTTTAATGAACCGCCGAAATTTTAATTTAAAACAAATAAAATCTTTAAAAATAGTAGTTCTGGTCCTTTTGTTAATAAAGGAGTTGTAGTTTTTTTAAGAAACAGAACATATCATTTTAACTAGCTGTATAATGAACAAAAAACAGGCCGCAATTCAATAAAACTTAAAATAAGTTAGGAACAAGATTGAAATGTATTTTAAATGTCTTTTTAACTATACAAAAGTTTTAATAGTACTTGAAAATAAATCTATTTAGATATTATATTATTACCAGTAATGGGAGTCACACATTTTTCTATAGAGATAAGAACAACTTTTGCCTATTGATGTATCATCATTATCATTATCATTTTCAGTTTATTAAAACATTTTTAATTATGGTGTAGCCTCCATCAGATATTTAGATACTCTCTTTGTAGTTGGGCCCAGTTGGGCTCAAGTTATCCCTGCTAATTTCATAATATCATGGTCCTAACACAGGTTTGGTCTTCTTCGAGGTCTCTTAATTACTCTTGGCTATCATGCTGTAATTTTAGTGATCCATCTGTTGTCTATTTTTCTTGCCAGGTGTCCTGCTCATTTCCACTTGAGGGATTTGATTCTGTGGATGACATCTATTACCTGGGTCTTTTGTCGTATCCACTGTAGTCTTTTACGCTCTTTTCTGATTATTTCCAGCATATTTCATTCTATTGAGCGTTGTGAGATCTGCAGTTTCCTTATAATGTCTGTTTAAATGTCAAAGTTTCGCATGCCTAGGTCATGTCTGGTAGTACACATAGTTTTCTTCTTTAGATAAGCGGCATTCTAAATTTGAATATGATTGAGTTTCTTCCATACTCCATGCTAACTTTAATCCTTCTGTTGATTTCTGGTAGTAGAGATTCTGAGCTGTGAATTAGTTGTCCTAAATATATTCTTCTACTATTTTCAGTGTTGTGTTGTATTTATTAGAATGTCTTTCGTCTACTAGTTGGTTGTATATTACTTTAGTTTTTGCTAAATTCATTTTGAAAATACTTTATTGCTTTAATTTTTTTAGTTATTCAGGAGTATTGGCAATTAGGATTTATTTATGTCATCAGTGAATCTTAGATCTCTCTCTCTCTCTTCAGTCCTGACCCCCATTAGGGAGTGTAGTGGTCAGCGTAACTTCATGGATGATTTTTCTCCATGCGCCTCTGTATTTGGTCCTCTCGATGACATCGTGCATTGGCTTGCTACAGCTAATCGTGATCTGGTCTATCCATCGAGTTGGAGGGCGGCCACGTGGTCTACGTCCCTCCACCTTGCCTTGAATTATGAGTCTTTCCGTATTGTGCGGACTTTGCCTCATTATATGTCCAAAATATTTTAGTTGTTTTAGTCGGATTTTACAGGAAAACCTGTGTTAGTAATATTAAATTCATTTATAATGGAAACGTTTTTACGGCGTTCAGTCCATGGGATACGGAGCATACGTCTATAACAATACATCTGGGTAGCACCGATCTTCTTACGTTCCGCCTGCCTGAGAGTCTACGATTCGCAGCCATACGTCAATATTGGGAGTTCCAAACAGTTGACTAGCCGGTCAAATCTTGGTCAGTCTCCCAACAGCTACCTTTGCCATGTTGCACCTACGCTTCACCTCTTCTTCCGATGTGCCTGTATTTGTCAATAGTGATCACAGGTATACGTATGACTTAACGATTTCAAAGCGGTCGATATAACTTATATTTGAATGGTTATTATGTTGCCTATCAACTATCATGATTTTGGTTTTTTGTGTATTTAATTCCAGACCGAGCCGATTGCTTTCGTTTTCTACTGCCAGTTTCTCTCGACTGCCAGCGAGTAGTGCTGTATCATCTGCAAAGCGTAGATTATTTATTTTTTGGCCATTTATTGAAATGCCTCCTTCCCATCTTTCTAGCGACCTTCTCATTATGTATTCTCCGTATATGTTAAATAGTTGAGGAAACAATATACTGTCTGACTCCTTGTTCGTGGGAAAATTCTTTTGAAGCTGAATCCAGTATTCTAACTGATCCTGTAGTGTGCTGATACAACTGGATGATAAGTGATATAAGGTGTTGTGGTACCCCCACTTCCTTTAAGATTTTCCACAGGTGATGCCATCTGACTTTATCGAAAGCTTTTTGTCTGCGAAACAAATATAAAGAGTGATCAAAATAAAATTACACTAAATCACCACAATACACCAAAACACTTTTACTTTTACACTGGACGCGCGTTTCGCTAACCATGTTAGCATCATCAGCAGATGATTATAAACTAAGTAAAAGTGTTTTGGTGTATTGTGGTGATTTAGTGTAATTTTATTTTGCTGTGTAACACCAAAGGTTCCAACCCTCAACTGTAATAAAGAGTGATGTTGGATTCCCTTGCTTTCTCTATGATTTGGCGCATATTCAGAAGATGTCCCCGAGTGCCTCTGCCCTTGGTGAAACCTGCTTGTTCTGCTGGAATTTCTCTTTCTAGAAAAGCTTTCAGTCTTTCATTTATAATTTGCAACATTACTTTACTGGCATGTGAGATGAGGGAAATTGTACGATAGTTGCTGAACTTATGTATGCTCCCTTTCTTGTGGAGAGTGACAATGCTGGAGTGTGTCGGGCCATTCTCCTTAGAATCTTAGATGGCTAAGATATATTTCCATCCTTTGTTGGTCCAGTCCAGTTGACGGAAGATTGCTTCTAGTGTTGCTGGAAACAAGAAAGTCTATACGTCGTATAATTTTCAACATAGAGACAATATCATGCAATATGATCTACTGGTATGATGTCACACATCGTTGTCACCGGCCTATAATATCATCAGATAGATGACTGTTAAAACATAATCCTTAAAAAATAATAATGTAAAGCATCAATTCAAAATACCGCCAACACAAAAAAAGAATATACAGTACGTGGGCAGGATTCATTGCTAGTTACAGTTACAAAATCAATAAAATCGAAAGGTTAACAATATTTGAAATTAATAAATACGTGAATAATTGTAAATCGCCGCATATTACGAATCGGAAAAACCACTATCGAACATGAGAAATATGTGATATTAACAACAATAATTTGGTTTTAATGCTTTATTTAAAGTAGGCAATCTTCGCCTTTGGCCGCTCACTTACTTGCCCCAACTACGTGAATTTTTAATGAACGTTATTATTATTGTTATTACCTTGCCAAACTCGAATGCCCGGCCTTGGATTTTCGACTATTTTATGTTAATTTTTAATAATAATTGTGTATTTTTTGGATAATTACTGGTTTTAATTTGAAATCCGTTTAAAATTAGGAACACGTCACCATTTGAATATCTTACAGCGTTTTTTTATTGTACCTATAACGATTTTTAATCAGAAAACCTAAATATTCTTGATACCAATTAAACTTTTACTTCGTTGTTACCAACACTGGACATATTCGGCGCCGGGCTGACTAACTGGAATTTAAATTCCCCGCTGGGGATTCACGTGGAAGCTCTGCTGTAAAAAATGTCAAGTTGCCACATTTATTTATTTATTTCCTGACATTGTCATTCGTTTTGACACTTTAGTTTTGTATTACGAGTTTTTGGTATAAATAAGCTTAAAAATGTTTACTAGCAGACCTTGCAGTCGAACATTGTTCTTTTTATAACCTCTGCCTCTTTATGTCCCTTAAGCGGCCCTCACACGATCAATAATATTGTCAATGTTTAATCAATATTTGAAAGGTGGCCTGACACGGTCAATACATATATCAATATTAAGTTTTGTGCAGATATTAAATGTGAATTATACCCTATGCCAAAAAATGAAAGATAAAAAAGGCGTGATTTTGGCAGTGAGTGTCAGTCAGTGTGAAAAAATCGAAGAAAAAAATTAAGAAAAGACGTTATACAAAAAAATTTCCAAAAAGAAAAAGGTTTGCCCAACTAAATCTTCTAGAGTACGTTAAGAAACGGGAGCCTGATGATTGCGATCTAAAACTGGTGAAAACAACGACGGCGATGTTCCGTCTTTCGCCATGGTTACCAATAAACTAGTGAAATTTTGTCAATCATGCGACCTAACGATCAATATATTAACTTTGTTCGGGTTCTTGTTATTACCGATTCTGAACCGTCCTAGAACTGTGATGCGTATATGCGCAGAAGGAAATATGAAGACATTATTTCATTTGCGCATGCGCTGCAGAGCTCTAGGACGGTTCAGAATCGGTAATAACAAGAACCCGAAAACGACTAGCTCCGCCTTTAATATTGTCGAGTATTTTCATTATCCCGAAAATCCATCAATATATTGAAACTCCATCAATATGTACGCTCAAACGCTCAATAATATTGTCAATAATCCAAAATATTGACAATATTATTGATCGTGCGAGGGCCGCTTTAAGTGCTGTTAAGGAGGTGAGTTTTGTTGATGTAAATAATTCTAACTGTTTATATATTTTAATTAATTTATTTTTGTTTCCTAAAATATTTTGATTAAAAGAAAATATGTAAAAGTGAGCAACGCTGTGCCGATGCCGGTCAATATAGTAATGTGTTACTCCATAAGATAACTGTCATTAAAAATCTGTCCAACATAAGTCAGGGAAGATTTTAACAAACGACATCTAATAAATGACAGAAAATCTCACCCTGTATTTGAATCGTTTGAATTGAATTTGGTGTAAATAATATTTTAAGTAACTTTATGTCACTAATAATTACTTGCTATTCCAAACTTAATGGTGTTATAATGGGAAAAAATCTTAAATCAAGTCTATAAACCTGACTAAATAAAATTTTGGCAAAAATGTTTAAATTTGTTGTATAATTTAAGATACCGAGCAGCTCTTCATTTTAGGTACTTTTTAATAGGCTTGTTTCTTCTCTACAATTTCCTGTCTCACAATGTACCGTTTGTGTCCAGAAAGGGTTCATAGTTTCATAGATGTCGATTTTCGAAAGAAATCAGTACCTGTATATTATTTCCTATATTTTTCATTTTATTGATTTTATGGAAAGCACTCTTCATTAGAATGTGGTATCCTATGTTATAGGGCTTGTTTCTCTCTACAATTTCCTGTCTCACAATGTACCGTTTGTGTCCAGGAAGGGTTCATAGTTTCATAGATGTCGATTTTCGAAAGAAATCAGTACATGTATATTATTACATATATTTTTCATTTTATTGATTTTATGGAAAGCACTGTTCATTAAAATGTTGTATCCTATGATATAGGGCTTGTTTCTCTCTACAATTTCCTGTCTCACAATGTACCGTTTGTGTCCAGGAAGGGTTCATAGTTTCATAGATGTCGATTTTCGAAAGAAATCAGTACATGTATATTATTACATATATTTTTCATTTTATTGATTTTATGGAAAGCACTGTTCATTAAAATGTTGTATCCTATGTTATAGGATTTGTTTCTCTCTACAATTTCCTGTCTCACAATGTACCGTTTGTGTCCAGGAAGGGTTCATAGTTTCATAGTTGTCGATTTTCGAAAGAAATCAGTACATGTATATTATTACATATATTTTTCATTTTATTGATTTTATGGAAAGCACTGTTCATTAAAATGTTGTATCCTATGTTATAGGGCTTGTTTCTCTCTACAATTTCCTGTCTCACAATGTACCGTTTGTGTCCAGGAAGGGTTCATAATTTCATAGTTATCGATTTTCGAAAGAAATCAGTACCTGTATATTATCACATATATTTTTCATTTTATTGATTTTATGGAAAGCACTGTTCATTAAAATGTTGTATCCTGTGTTATAGGATTTGTTTCTCTCTACAATTTCCTGTTTCACAATGTACCGTTTGTGTCCAGGAAGGGTTCATAGTTTCATAGATGTCGATTTTCGGAAGACATCAGTACATGTATATTATTACATATATTTTTTATTTTATTGATTTTATGGAAAGCACTGTTCATTAAAATGTTGTATCCTGTGTTATAGGGCTTGTTTCTCTCTACAATTTCCTGTTTCACAATGTACCGTTTGTGTCCAGGAAGGGTTCATAGTTTCATAGATGTCGATTTTCGGAAGAAATCAGTACATGTATATTATTAAATATATTTTTCATTTTATTGATTTTATGGAAAGCACTGTTCAATAAAATGTTGTATCCTATGTTATAGGGCTTGTTTCTCTCTACAATTTCCTGTCTCACAATGTACTGTTTGTGTCTGCGAAGGGTTCATATTTTCATAGTTGTCGATTTTCGAAACAAATCAGTACTTGTATATTATTTCCTATATTTTTCATTTATTGATTTTATGGAAAGCACTGTTCATTAAGATGTTGTATCCTATGTTATAGGTTTACAGAGCAAATGATTGTAACAGATATTTTATTTAGAGTGTGCAAAAATTAGTTTAACCCATGGTTTAAACCGAATTTTATTATCGTTGTCACATTGCGCCGTTTTCACCAAGGTTGTCGTTTATTATTTGACAATTATCCTAATGTCAGTCATTATTATGTATAATATTGTATTGTTCTTGAATCTTTGTTTTCCCGTTTTTGAAATTCCCGTTTTTTGCATATTTCCATAGTTTTTTTTAAATTGTACTTTTAAGCACAAACAGTTCTTTTAAGAACTAAATTTTCAAGTTTTTGTATTTCATTTCTTGAAATTGTGTGTTCAAAATATGCCGAAGCATTTAAACAGTCGAAGCAAAGAGCTTATTGTAGCTTCCCTAATAAACTATTTTGAACGGGAACTTGACAATAAAGGTCCTTTATTACTTCTTGACTGCAGTCAGAGAAGTAAGTTTGATTGATAAGCGCATTACATCACTTTCAAAGTTATTTCTACGTTAGTTTTTATTAAATTCTGTGATTATGAGTTTGTGCATTAATAGCACCCTCTTACTTGTTTGGTTTATTACCACTTATGGCGTTGTAAGATGTACATCAATAAATAAATAAATATCCCTTGCCTTAATAGCGCTTAGAATTATCTTCATAATGGACTAGTTTTTGCCAATATGTAATAAGTAAAATAAGCTATAAAACAAATAAATCAATTGATTACTAAAATATTAGTTATTAAATTTAAAAAAAAACGTAAAAATCTTTTAAAAATGATATAATAAATATATTGTTTGTCACTCTTAAATTAAGATGCTTCTCTTAAATCCATCACAATCTGGCAGCCCTGTCGTCATCGCTTGTCACTCAAAGTTGATCACGTGCATCGGAAATTGTTTTGCGATTACCATAGATGAAAAGCATAATGTTGGTCATGTAATTTTATCGATTAACATAGATACTGTAAATAATAAAGTAGCATCTGTTGAAAAAGCGCGAATGGGCTTTTTAAAAACCAGTAAATCTGTTAATAAACATCATCTATTAATAAAATTATACTAGCAGAAAAACACATAACCGAAATATTTTCACCGCAACAATTAGCGAGTTTGCCTATCCATTTAGGATAAATCTCGTTAATTAAATCATCTGGCCTTTCAAATCATTAGAACCGGATCGTGTATACAGGGTGATTGAGATTCAACTATATTTATATTCTAATAAAGTTGCTATGAGTTTTTTACGGCTATTAAGCTATCTTGTACACTTCGCACTAAAAGAGGTTCTAAAAAGAACAGTGTTCGACTGCAAGGTCTGCTAGTAAATAATTTTAAGCTTAAAGTATCACAACACTATTTATTTAAATTAAAAACTCATAATATACAAAACTAAAGTATCAAAACGAATGACAATCTCAGGAAATAAATAAATAAATGTGGCACCTTGACATTTTTTTACAGCAGAGCTACCATCTGAATCCCCAGCGCCAAATTTAAATTCCACTTAATCAGTTTATTTTTCACTACAATTGAAATAAACAATATAATAAAGATACTTGTATGAATACTTTGAAAGATATTTATATACCTAATGTGTTTCTATTTTATTTTTGCAGAATTCTTCCTCATTACCGTGGGCTACCGACCGTCCAGAAGCGTTGCGGGAGGGTCGGCTATTCCCCTCCCGCGAAAAGGGCACGTAGTTCGGAAAGGGATAGTTTTCCCAGCTTTAGGGAACGCAGCCCTTCGTCGAGTAACAACAACGGGGAGATGCCCGAGTCGTTACTGGGGCAAGCGTTGGAAGGAGGACCTACTATCTTAACGAAAGAAGTAAGTAACTTAACTTACACGTCGCGTACACACCAAACGAACATTGGTAAATAGGCTTACGAACGTTTGTAAATGTTCACAAACTTGCTGCTTACAAGAAGTTTGTAAACTGATTTGAATGCGTTTATCGGTTTCCTGCGGATTTTTGCGCTGCAATAAAAATAATGCACAGGTTGTACCTTTTAAAACAAGAAATCAAATTATCTTCTGCGTTGCATATTTTGAAATTGTTGGATTTATTAGAAAATGAAAAAAAAACGTATTTATAAATTTTTGTTAAAAACGGAGCTTCCTTAAACCTTTACCAGATATAAAAGTAAATAGCTATATATAATAAACTGTATGCTAAAGAAAATTTTTGGAGAAAAAGTGTTTTTTTTTGGGGGGAAAAATGAACTTGGAATTGATCATTTTTCATTTAAATATATATGTCTGATAAAAATATAATATTTAGACCTCGTACCTTTCATTTTAAGCCAATTTTCCTATTAATAGTTTCAATTTCAAATTAATTAGATGCAAATATTCCTAAACAACTTGAAACAAATTGCTTTTTCAAATGGCAACCACAATCTTTTGTTAGTTGGATCCGATATAACATAGTACGATGATTAGTCGTTACGCTGTGACAACATTTTTAGATAAATTACATACATGGTTTCCAAAATGATTAATTTTAAAAATATTGCTCTGACCTAGCTTTGGGAGTTTTGGCTAGGGTCACTTAAGTCCAACCAACAAATAAAAAATACAAGTATAATAATATGAGGAATAAGGGAAATAATAATATAACATGAGCGAAATAATCTGGTAAATGTCCAGATTATTATAGAAACATATCGGGACTGCGCGATCTCTCTCCAAGAGTGCTTTTGTATATTTCCATCGTCGATGTTTGCGACGAACATCACCTTAAATTCTCACGTTACGTCGACGTAATTTTAATTGTTTTAATTACTAATGTTTATTATAAGAACATATATCTAAGTATACGTTTATGTGAACGATTCCCTTGGGCTTACTACATCAAATCGGCTTTATAAAATATGATTTTCTCCTCAAACTGGATATAAACCCGTTGGCCTTATTTAAGTCTTGACAATATAAAATGGACTTCAAAACTGATTTTTTTACTATAATATAAAAGTAATAGGTCTCAAACGTAAGTTAAAGTTTTCTTAGTTACCCTGGCAATTGGAATTACCAAGTCAAACTCTCTATACATTGTTATAAGTCTTTTATCTGCCCCTTTGGTGGTGTCTTATCAAAGAAAAAAATAAATTTTTTTTTTTTTTTTTTTTTTTTTTTTTAATTTATTTTAAACACAATTTGTGTTTAAAACCACTTTTAAAATTATATTGTAAGTTTTAAAATTATCACAAATGTGAGGTTTAACCGTAACCAACATGAGATACAGGCCAGAAACATCGATTTGTGACGTCACCGCAATAGTCGGGCTTTTGAATTGTGCCATAAGGTACTGCATATAGTTTTTGCATTAAATAATACTATTTATTGATAGTTTTGCCAAACATAAATATGAAAAATATTATACACGAAGGTATTAAAATAACATTAACTTTTTATCACGTTAAATTAATTGAATAGCATTAAAATTTGATCTAAACACGAATATTAATATGAAATAAACAATGTTACAAGATAGAAATAGAATAAAATCCAGATAATAAAAAAGCATGTCCTAAAATTGCGTTAGCGAGTATTTAGCAAATAGTAATAATATGGCCCAGATAAAGTTTCCAAATATTAAAAAATTTGAAAAGCTATACTTTATCGACAAGTTAAGAAAATGTATTGAATATGATAAGTGTTGGCATCACATTTTAAAAGTTTACCTCCAAAGATAATTGTAAAATTTGCCTAACATATGTAAAAAACGTGGATATCAGGTAGAATTAACTATTATCATTAAGTAATCTGTAGTTCGATGTTCACTGGCAAATTCATTTCCATATATCAAATAAAAAGTAAAGATATCATTTTTTATATAAAAATACTGAAATAAATAAAGTACAATTCATTTAACTTCTTTAAAATATATTTGCCATTTTCTCATTAATAATATTATGGCTTCATAATAATAATAATAATTTTCAATATTTATTTCATCCTGAATTTCCAAATTTTGTTTTCTTTCATCGGGATGTTTGGGAACATGCAGTCATAAGAGGGTTGATTTGGAAAAATTGTATGCACAGCATCTTCTGTAGGTTTTGACGTGACCTAGTTACAGTTACTATTGTTGGGAAAGAGAATGCCAGATCCTGAGTACTTATTATAATTGCTGCTACAAGGCACAGGCACAGAACAATGTCGCGGCATTTTTTATTTTACAAAGAAAAAAAAGAAACGAAAACTGTTTTACCTCTCGGTTTTACTTAAAAATACACGTCACTTACGTTGGTTTAACACTATACACTAACACTGACGCTATTAATTATGTTTTTATATAAATTCCCCAACTTTTTCCTAGCCCGAACACACAGCCCGCATCGCCGGTGTTACTATAATTTTTACCGAAAGTATGGTTTTTTTGCGGGTACGATGTTATGAATCGGTTCTAAATAGTTCACTATTCACTCAGAGTACACTCAAAATTATCTAGTATAATTTTATTAGCATAGAAACGCATAAAAAACACAGATTTGTTGCGAAACTAATGAAAACAATAGGTTTCTTTACGACTACTAATTCTCGACCACTTCGGTAGAACTGTCAAAAACAGTCAGGCCTTGAATATGACGTCAGCCACGTCAACCAAATCCGACATTTTTTGTCGCTCTTTGGTTTTAGCAAATTTTCAAAAATATTCATTACCTCGAAAAAAATTCCGGAAATAATTTATCTTTTTGTGGTATCACTAGTGAAAATTTCCGAATGATAATTGTTCCCGATAGTTGACCGAAGCTGTTGACGTTAAACGATGTGAGTTGATGAACCGGTGCTCGTTTGGACATTCTGTCGTGCTGTTCTATGGCAAGAGTGTAAACTCTATTACCCACACACTGCTCATTCCCGCCGGTTCGAGGCCGGATGACATCGGATATCTCATGACTAAAAGTCGATTTAGATACTTGCCAAGTCGATAGGTCCGTCCAGATTAGACTTAGCTGCAGAAAGAGTCATTACCACTTTGAACTTTTGTTTCTTTCTATGATAAATTGAGTTTTTATCTTGCGTCCTTTATTCTTTCTTCAGAAATCCAGCACACTCCGAATCGCCCCACCAAACGTGCGAAGATAGCAATAGTAGCGACACGGCGCCGAGCGATCACGGCGACGGCGAACCCGTCACACCAAAGACTGAACCACCCGACTACCCCAACATGCTGGACGAGCACAATCCCTTTCACACCAACGGCGGCTTGCTGGACCAGACGAGGTCGCCGTCCTTTCCAGGCGCTCTACTTGGACTACAAGGTGAGCTAATCAAATTGAGTGTAAATTTTCATCTAAAATTTTGCAATAGGTCATGAAATAGCTATATATGTAACAAGAATTTCATACAAGATTTTTAGTGAAAGCGGATAATTTGAGATTTTCATGCTATTATTATTATTTATTTTTAAACATTTTTTAAAGTGTTCTGGTAATCGGTTTCTAAGTCATTGTTTATGCATTGTTTTATGACAAAGTTCTGCCAGGTTCAAATGTCGCCGTATTTCACAAAAGTTTTGTGAAAGAGTCTTTGGATATTCAACAAGCTGCTGAAACTGCGCTATCCACGTTAGTGCCCGAGAAGTCGAAAAACTTATACGAGACCACATACAACTTTGAAACCTGGGTCAAAGAAAACATGTTGAGAATTTCACAGAAATGGTATTCCTAGCCTATTTCCTGAAGTTATCCACTACCTTAAAGCCTTTAAATATTCGATGTTTCATTACGCAAATCTCACAGCCAAAGTCAATCGTTGGTTATTGGTAGGGAAGAAGCGTCACGCTTTTTAATTCGTCATTTATTAATGTGAAGATTCCGAATACAAAAACCCATTTTCCAAGAGTGTTTACGATTACCGAGGGACCCACAGATGATATCAATTTCTTACATGTATTTCGTAAGTGCGCAAAACTTCGACCACTCAATGTGACACATCACCGATTTTTCTTGACGTATCGAAAAATCAATGCTGTACCCTACCAGTTGGAATCAATACAATTGAGGGTATGCTAGAAAAATATAGCGGAATTTCTTGGACTCTCCAATGCCATTGAATACACTGGTCATTGTTTCCGGCGCAACTCTGCAACAATGCTGGCAGATTCAAGAGCGGACATAACAGTTTAAAAGCGACATGAAGGTTGGCGATCAAGCTCTGTTGCTGAAGGTTACATTGAAAAATTCAATTGAACAGAAAACCGACATAGCAAAAAGAATCATGGGACAGAAAGATACGCCAAATATGAAATTAAAAGCAGTTCACGTAGAAGCAGAATTCACCAGCATTGCCAGTACAAGAAATTTACTTATCGACTCCTACAATATTAAAAAGTCTTTTATTAAAGGTATCATATTCGTAATATGATATTTTTACAGAACTCATATTTCACAAAAGAAAAATGTAATGCTTTCATCTCGGGTACACTCTGTATATACTAATTTAGACAATTTTGTGACTATAATGTTAATAATCCTTTTTCCTTTTTTAATACAGATCACCCTCTTGCAGGATTAAGTGGATTGATGCCTGGACCTTCTGGAATGCATGGGAACGCCAATGATTTTGGTGAGTACATAATTTCAATTTTTGCTTAGAAATGAAATATGCAATAATATACAGGATGTTCCATTTAAATTGATTCTTCAGAAAACCGATTTTATATAAAATCGATTCTTTCAGATCGAGATTGAATAGTCATGCAACCCGAATTTTATCGTCAATTTCAGAAGATATCAATTACGTAATAAAAGAAATAATTTTAAAGTAATTTTACTGTTTAATTATTTAGAATTTAATTTTTGATTTGTTTTTAGGTTTTAAGTTTCAAGTTTTACGTTACACTGGCACTTAAAGTAATTTTGCTTGTTGTATTATTCAGAATTATATCTTTTCTGAATAATTTGTTTTATATATTTTGTTTAAAAAGTAATGAAAAAATCACGCAAAAATATATATATTTTATTGCATTTTATACTTTTAATATTAAAAAAAAATTGAATTAAAAAAGATCGATGTCACTCTAATCGATTTTTTCAGTATCTATTCGCGATCATTCGATCTAGATCGATTCCTTTACAGAATTGCCCATCCCTATTGCTGATACATCCAAAAAAAAACATTTGTCGCCACAAGTATTGCCAGACCTTCAGATATTAATATAAAGAATGTTAACAGATAAACATCATTTATCGAACCACTGTAAATATATTTTTAATTTAATATAATTGATTTTATAAAATATTAAAACGAATGAAGATATTAGTGTCTTCTATAGGTAAAATGAACGGATGCTTTTACTTTACCTCATTTTAGTTTAAAAAAGTTTAAAAGCGTCATAAAGAAAAAAGTTGTTTCAGCATTTGCCATAAAATAATGATCAATTTGTTACAAAACCATAGAAATAGGCCGTGCCTTTAAACTGTCAGCAACGGTAGTTTAGCCAGGTCACAGCAGGGCGATGCCGGTGACACTACTGCTTTATGAATATAGAATTTTATGACATCCGTCGTCTCATCCATCAGTCATTCACTTGTCAACCACCGCACACCATCCCGACACTGATGTGGCCAGAAAACAAATATACTAAAATCAACCATCCCTGTTAGTCAATAACCAACCAATGAATTACTTTTCACCACGCAACCAACCTGCCAAATGGTCTGAACCAATCCAACCAGCAGGAAACCAATGCAATAAGATATCACGCTATAAGCAAAAAAATATAAAAAGTCTTGGTCGGCGTGAGATTTGAACCACGGACCATTCGCTTACGAAGCGATAGCCTCAGCCACTGACCCACAGGTGCTCTTGCAAAAATCTTAAGGCTAGGCATTACTTTCCGCCGACATGAACGACGCGACGTCACAATATCTATTAACGGTATTTTAGTAGGCTACCGTTTAACGGCTGTTTAAGTACATAGCGTGATCTTATTGCATTGGTTTCACTCTTTTGGTTGGATTGGCTTTAGTTATTTGGCGGGTTGGTTAGCGTGGTTATTTGAGGGTGTTAATTACTGGTTAGTTGGTTATTTCGTGGGGTTGGTTGATTTGTACTAATTTATATTTGTTTTTTATATTTTTATCAGTGGCGAGGTTAGTTGGGTGTTGGTGTTGGGTTATTTGGTGGGGTGGATAGCGTTGGTTAGTCCTTATAAAAATTCTATAGGCTTCTTAAAGCCGTCAAGGGCGTCACATCAACGACGTCATACCTATTAACGGCAATTTAGTAAGCTACCGTTTAACTGCAGTTTAAGTACAGCCAATTATATATCACTGTAATCACAAAATCTCAATCTATTTCCGTATTGTAACGGAATTTTAAATTATGTCTTTATTTTCGAGAACATTTAGTCCAAACATAAGGAATATTTGTTGATGTTTGGCCATCAAAAAATCTTAAAAATTTAGAAGTTGTCTAAAAATGTCCTACAATACGAATATAGTATAATCCTTTTTATCTTTAATTTTCGTCTTCATTTGTATAAAATACCTAGCCAGTTTTAGATGAAACGTTAAATGCCGAACGCTTTATTTTGCTACTTTTGGACTAGTGAAATCGACTCTTAAGTAAGAAACATGATAAAATAACAAAAAACAGAGTTATGGAGTTATTATTTCTAACTTAAATTCCATAGCAGATGTGCCAATTTTTATTCGTTCATTGTAACGCATTTTGTTTAAACATTTGAACTGGACTCTTAAGGCGGTACGAAGTAAGCCGAGTCAGCTAGTTCAAAATAAATGTAATACCTAATAATAGAAATAATAAAAATATAAAATGAAAAATATATGAAGTAACTTTAACAATACAAACTTATCTGACAACGCAGAGCAATTACTTATCCGACTTTCCCGAAAAAAAACATAATATTCCGTATTTTCAACTTGACATACTCACTCCCACTCCTCATGTCACTTTCGCGTACATTTTAATAAAAATGTACCGGCCTTTGGACACTGTCCTTCACTCCTGCCATATTACACTCGGTCAGCCCGAGGGAACGAGAAGGACCAAACCATCTCCCTGTCACTACAGACGAGATATTTAATAATAAAAGTTTTCTTTTTTTTCCGCTCCCTCTCGTCCTCAATTCTGTACGGCGCTTATTGTTGTCCGTGTTTTTGTCCAGGCGGCTTCGGCCTGACAGATGTCAGTTTTTTCGCGCGAATTGTGACACAGGCGGCTTAGAAAAGCCATTGTATTTAGAAAAATTCGCTACGTGCTGCGAATATCACGTCTGTGTATGTGTGTGTGTTTAGGATGAAACGATTTTTCAAAAGCAATTGCGTTTTGGGGATGCGTACGAGAGATCTTTTAAATATTTCCTTTTGAATGCCTAGAAGTTGAAAAAAGTCAATAAGAGTCTTTTCAAATGTTTTTTATAACAAGGTGTTTATCTATACAGGGTGAGTCTTAAATAAGTGCAAATATTTATAGTGGTGGTATATTTGGATCCCAGCAATTTGTTTATGTTTCTTTTTAGTAAGAAATGTTGAAAATCGTGCATTGTCTTGTAAATTTTTCTGGTATATTTTAGAAAGCTTTTTATAACCGCCTGTTCGCCGCAAATTTTCCCACCGTATTTCTTAATCTCTGATATTACCATAGTATAAGGAAACCAGTAGCTTTACTCCTTGTCAAATCCTTTGTTCTTTTCTGCCACTTTATATGACCTTGTGCCTCCCGTGACCACTGACGTAGCTGTGTAGTCGTGGTCTATAACTAGGCAAAGTATAGTCATGGCACTTGCCATAGTTTCACAGAGATGTATTTAGGGAAAATATGAGTTGACAATAAAATAAAAAATTTTTTTTTTTTTTTTTTTTTTTTTAGAAAAACAGAATATTTTCACATTTCCCGACGGACGGAACTCAACTGAACGCTCTGCAATCTGCCGATATTTGACAGATTGTAAAAACTTGCAGAAAATATTTGGAAGAGTACAACTACTCTTTTTCTTCTACTATGATATTACCACATGGTTACGGCACTAAAAAGGGGATGCAAATGATACAGAAAAACTGGTGGCTCCCAAAAATAAAAAAATAAATCACTTTTTTTAAATTTTGCCCCTGCAAATAATGTACAAAAGTAGGAAATTTCAAGATCCGGAAGGATTCGACCACATTATCTTTAAAATTGTTTTGTTGTTCCTACTGCTTAATTCATTCGCTTGAAATTAATATTTACACGACCTTCGGCATTGTTTTCAAAATATCAATCATCGAAAACAATCGACAATGCATTTTGATTCGAACAGTAAGTAGTTTAAGAACAATTACCATAATAACTCCAATTTAAATCAATTACTGCGTATATGCTCAATTAGATTAGCGTACGAAATAAAATTTAACAGTTGGTAAAACATCGTCAACCGTTGATTTATTAACAGAAAAATAGGTCCCATTTCTCGTTTAGGAAAGCGAATTAATTATTACATTACTTACCAATGCAATAAATTCAGCTTTAAAAATTCTGCTTAAAAACAAGAATGAATTGATTATATTTGAAATAAAACACAATATCGTTAAACCAGCTAGGAAGAACGATCAAAATTTCATAAATTAAATTTAAAAGGGATAATCTTGAATAAAAAGATTGGGAAGGGCCTCTAGAATGGCCGACTTAAAGGCTTCATTTCACTAGTCCGGAAAAGTAGCAAAATAAGCGTTCGGCATCTAACGTTTTATGTGTAAAACTGGCTAGGTATTTTTACACAAATGAAGAAGGAAAATTAAAGATAAAGATTATACTATAATCCCTATTGTAGCACATTTTTAGACAACTTCTTTATTTTTAAGATTTTGATGATCAAAATTGAACAAAAAAAAAAAAAATCCTTATGTTTGGACTAAATTTCCTGAAAAAATAAAGCAGATAATTTAAAATTCAGTTACTGTACGGAATTCAGTGGCGCATCTAGAGATGGAGTCTGGGAGGGGTAGTTTGAATATTCAAAAAGTACTAAATTTGAATTAAATTTTTGCTGGAAGGTATTGTAACCGGAAAAAAATCTACTTGGATTGGTTTGGATATTCTGTTTTAATTTGTATTATTAACTTTTTGTAAATACCTATTTTTATACCAAATTATATCTTATTAATTATTCTTTTTTTCTGAAGGGGTAATTACCCCTCCTGTATATGTGCCCTTTTATAGGGCTTGCTTCTCTTTACACTTCCTTGTTTCTTGCAATGTACCGTTTGTGTTCAGGAAACGGTTCATAGTTTCATAGTTGTCGATTTTCGAAAGAAATCAGTACATGTATTTTATTTCGTATATTTTTCATTTTATTGATTTAATGGAGCACTGTTCATTAAAATGTTGTATCCTATGTTATAGGGGTTGTTTTCTGCAATTTCCTGTCTCACAATGTACCGTTTGTGTCCGAAGGGTACATAGTTTCATAGTTGTCGATTTTCAAAGAAATCACATGATAAGTTGTTTCGTATATTTTTCATTTTATTATTTTATGAAAGCACTGTTCATTAAAATGCTGTGTCCTATGTTATAGGTAGGGGCTTGTTTCTCTCTTACAATTTCCCTGTCTCACAATGTACCGT